TTGTAATGTACAAAGAAAAGTTAGAATATTTTTTGTCACATTCTTTGAAAACACTGAAATTAAACAAACGTACACAAAAGTGGACATGTTTTAAGATAAATGACATTAGGACACTGTTACAAAAAAAGTGCAAAGCTTAATTTTAAGTCCCCCAATTTAGCATTTGTTAGCACTATATAAACATTGAATTAATACTTTATAATTTATTATAATGTAGTTATAAACAGATGTAAGTGTTTATTAATGTAACTCCTCTGCCTCAAACTTATGGATGCCCACAGGATAATGCATAACAATATAGAAATGAATAACAATATAGTAAAAAGTACGTAAAGTACGTAACTTATTTAAAGTAAAGTCTTACACAAAAAGAAAATGGAAAACTTTTGTGGTTTTTTTGCGTTTTTTTTCTCTTTCATTTTAAATAAAATTACTCTACGTGCGAACTTGGAAATGTAGCAAGAAATCTGTCAAATGTGAAGCGTAGCACTGAAATGTTGGTTTTTTGTGTGTTATTCCAGAGCTTCCTGAGAGTATGAGTCTCAACTTTGACTGCGGGGCTCAGATCAAGTTGGGCTTCGCTGCAGAGTTCTCCAATGTGCTCGTCATTTACACTCACATCGTTAAGAAACCTGAGGACATGTCCTTCTGCCAAGCTCACGTGACTGACTTCTCACAGGTCAGTATGTTCTCATGAACACTGGTTATTAACCCCTTAAAATAGGCCGTACCACCTGTGGGACACTTTGGCCTTGGTATAGCTCAGATGTTATTTAAGGTGGTTTTTCGACAGGGTTAAGAAAGAGCAGGGAAATTCTAATCTTTCTTACCAATCTAACAGGAGCCTTGTAGGAAAATCGAATCCTTAAATCAGAACTTCATTAGAGTTCACTTTTTACTTAATACTTGACGGACTATTATAAACAAAGCAAAGCCACAACGGTACACTGCTACCTGCTTCCTCCCCTTACTGCAGGACCTCGATGTGGATCCTAAAGAGATGAACAGAGAGACTCCAGAGGAGACGGGGATCTACCTCCTGTCCAGCAGCCTGCCGCAGCACTGTCTCTACACCAGACTCAGCTCACTGCAGAAGCTCAGGGTAAAAACTCAACAAGACTTTTTGGCATGTAAAAGCCTAATCTCTTAAAAAAACAGGACAAGCTTTGTGTTTATCCGTATGACGGTAAGGATAAACACAAAGCTTAAGTTTCTCACGTATATGTTTTTTAACAACAATATTGGAGAATTCATTCTAAGAGGAACTTAGAGAGAAGATGTAGGTATATTTCAGTGTATAAAGATAATCATGAAGATTTCACTGCAATGTTTTTTTGACTTTAGAAATTACAAGTGAACAAAAAATGAAAGTGAACAAAGTTACATGACAATAATCTACTTCTCATGCAACAGGAGGAGCTGGTCTTCACCGTGTGCCTTCAGGGCACCTTCCCAGCTATGGATGATGATCCTGTCCACTGGACCAAAAGCATCAACATTGGAAAGCCACTGATCGCCCGATTGGACCTGCACCGGGCCATGCGGAGGAATAGCTGCCTACAGACCTGCCTGATGCCCCACAGCCCGTCCCACAGCCCCTGTCACAGCCCTGGGCCTGAACACCGCCTCCAAATCCATCATGTGCTGCACCAGACCCAGGACTACAGCCGCCTGTCCCCGCAGCACCACTACCTGGACGTCTACGAGCGTCTTCAGGGTGCAGCGGGAGGATGCGGGGATTCCTACTATGAAAATCTCAGCCAGTGTCGCTTTGAGCAATCGTATGACTCAGCTGGTAGACTTTCAAGCTCACCAGGCAGGCTTAGCATCCCTATAGAGGCCAGTGACGACATCAATGAGCTGCAGACTGTGTTCATCAACAGTCTGCAGCTTCAGCCGCAGTGAAACAGCTGCTGGATATGGTTGATAATTCTTAGAGGAGAAGCTGTAAACATCTTTGATGCTGTATCTGGAATACTGCTGCTCTTCATGTAACGTGATTTTTTAGGATGTTATATTCTTAAACTTAGAAGCATTATTTGTCTCAACAAGCTGTATAATGAGCTTGTACTTGTGATTTAAATTTTGTAAATACATTTTTAGAGAACTGAAAAAGTGCATTTTAGTAAACTGACAAGGGGTAATTGCTGCAGTTGTAGTTTTCTAGGCTTGTGAATTTTCCAATTTCTCTCTGACCAAACAGAAAAACTCAGATACTGAATAGTGTCAAGATGAATTGTATCATAATCCTTGTGTAAGAGTATTAGGAAGAGTCTTTTCTATTGAGCTGGAACTGTACTTCTTACAAAGCAAGGGACATTGAGATGGGGAAGATTTGCCTTTAATTCAAGAGGAGCATTGTAAACAAACTAGTCTGAAAGAAAATTTGCATTCGGTGGAGGGAACCGAGGCAATGCCCCCTCTACTGTACAGTTACAATAATTATCTGAGGCCATCATACATTTTTATCAAAAAATAAACCTGAGGAGAGAAAGAGGTGGGAGAAGTATTCATATCCTCTTCTTTTTAGTAAAAGCACCAATACAACGATGTGAAAACACTGTGAAACAAGTGAAAGTCATGCACTTACAATTAATATTGAGACATCAGTGTTTACGCAGCATTTTACTGTTGTGGCTGGTCGAGTGAGCGAGCAGTTTAGTCCAGTGGTTAAAGGGCCAAGAGATAAATCTGAGGGAAGAAGAAAAATCTAAATTCTGCAACACAAGTCTGTATTCATTTGTAACTAAAACAACAACAATGTGCCAAGACACCAGCTTTTTTTTTTTAAAGTGGTCACAAGACAATGAGAAATATGTATATGTTGTTTTTACCTCTTGACTCATCTTAATACCCCTCAGATTTATCTTGGGACCTCGGAGGATCTCACCCCTTGGATTGGAATCACTGCTGTATAAGTTTTTAAGGTTCAGACACAACTTTCACTTTTTCTTGTGACTTTTTGTGTCTGAAATAACCTTAATAACTTTAATAGGAATGTCAAACTCGCCATTTCTGAGCTAATGATTTAAAGACAGACATCATTTTCTTTGTAATGTAATTTGTTCACTATAAAAACTGCACAGGGATAGTGTAGTTTTTATCACATTTTAAAAATATATTCTATTTTATTTATTATTCCAGCTGCCCCCCTCAGGATGGCAGTAGAAGACCTCTTTTTTAGGTCTGCCCCTGGTGCTCCTCTCCCTCCTCCCTGGACCTGCCCTCAGTAGCCTACCCATGTTATCAGTTCCTCTTTTATGCTTGCTTAGCTGTGGACTTCATTAGTCAGTAACTAGGTAAAGCTTATTTGTATAGCCCCTTCCACAGATACAAAATCACAAAGTGCTTCACATCAATAGAAAAAGTGCAAAAGTTCCAAATATATATGAGGAATAAAAATGAAATAAGCAATAAAATTAAACAGAGCAGCTATTCAGACAGGTTGACCAAAAGCCTGTCTGAATTAGTCTTTGTCTACTCCTCAGTCAACCCTGAAATTTTCCAAAAGAGTTCCACTCAGTGACTTTCGTGCAAGGTTTTATGGCATAGTTCACTTTATCATCCCCCACAAGTTCATGTTGCTACTTTTGGATTGGCTTGATGGTGAGAGATCACAGAGGGCTGGCATAGTCCGCTGCACACTTGTTTGACAGTATTCCTGTAGTTTAAGATCCATATCTGCAGTACAACAAGGCAGTTTGTCTAACATAAGAATCCCATGCACTCAAAAGCACAGTCATAATGTGCTGATCCACATTCTGATTCCTCATTTCTACCAGTGGCAGTGTAGCACATGAAGACTTGTCACCTCTAAGGAAGTGGTAGAGCATTTCCTGCACAACCCTGATAGAGAGCAAGAGCTAGGGCCGCTCAGAGCCCTTTTCATTTGTTTGCTAGAGGAAGTATTAGTTAACAGTGGAGGAAGAGGACATGAAAACGAAAATGACAAACTGTAAAGACAGAACAGAATTACGAGCCAATATGTACTAAAGTAGAAAGATTGGTACAGTAAGAGTTGTGCAAATGCCTCATCTGGTGAGGAAAATGATTACAAATAATCTTACCAAGTGTGAAATGGTATTGTGGTATTATTATTTATTTATAATGGTACATTTTACATTTGACATTTTATGAGTGCCATGGTACTCATATTTACAATGGTACATTTCACACCTATATGTGGGTGTTTAGGGCAACGCATTGGTTCAGTGGTTAGGACTAAATTTCTCATTTCAGAATGTGCTCAAAAAGCAACATCGTATGAAAAAGCGAATCAATTACAGTAACACTTCAGTATTTAGTTTCCACTCTTGGTTGTTTTCATGAGGGCATGCAGATCATGTGACCTGCAGCTGCCAGGTTCTCTCACATGACTGTGACGCCCATCCCATTGTCTTGGGGGTTGTCCTGCTCCACCTCAGCAGGCAATGGTTGAAATGGAATGGTCGTCAGCTGATGCCGTTCACCTGGGCCTTCTAGAGCAGAAAAGCTGGCCCATGTATCCACTTGTCCTCTCCCTCTGAACTGCTGACAACCATTTGTATATACCATGCACTGCTTTTATGGCTAAACTTGCTGATTTCCACACCTCATTGCTTATTTGTCTCATGTTTTAGTTATAATAAATTGTTTTTAGTATAACTTTGTGTGAACTCCCTTCTTTTCACATTCACTGAGCCAGTTTACGACATGACCTTGCAGAAAGGTCCACAGTTGCAACATAATAGCACTCAGGCTGGGATGAGTGCAGAATTTTTATCCCCCAAAGCAAGATTTTTGCTTTAAAGCAAAGGAATGTTTATTTCAGCATGTTCTGTCCACGCACATCCCTGCAGGAGAGCACACACTGCAGCACAGCATCAAGACATAAAACCTGTCTGGTTGAATAATGGATGGAGTCAGCCACCCACAGGCTGCAGCGTGATATCATAGCTGCGTCACTAAATGAAGAGGGGTTGGGTGGTGAGACGATGCAGTAGTCAGAGAGAAGAGAGAGACCCAGGGAGAACGTGCGTGCAGAGAAGAAAGACGGGTAATAATCATGTCAGCCTCATGGAAGCAGCTCTTTTTTCAGATCTTCCTGCTTCTCATCACCTGCAGACACATCCGTACAAGTAAATGATATTTAAATTTAATTCTGACTATATGTGGTTGTGCTCTGCTCTGCTTTCTCTTTTCCCCACTATATGTTCTGTAACCTTGTGAAGAGTAGAAAATGTCAAAGGATTTCCACACCATCATGTACTACGTATTTTGGTTTGAAGTTGCTGGTTGTTAGTCTTTATTTTTTTACATTTACATCATCACAGAAATCTAAAACTCAAATTACGTATTTAAGACTAGCAACTTTTATGACAAAACTGAACAAGTAGAATAATAAAAATCATATTTTCTAGGCTTTACACTTTACACTTGTACATTGGCTGGAGTTGTATTCTACTCTCAAGAGTATAGTTTTTGTCTTTTTATATGACTGTGATTCTGTAAATAACCCCATAAACTGTAGCTTCATCGTGAGAAGGAAAATTTCCACAGATTTGCCTCAAGAAACTGTTAAATAAAACAGTTGCAAATTGTATCAGGGGGGCACGTTGAGATCCTATTTTGCGCTTTTTCTACATTTGAACTGAATCTTGAGGTATTTCACTAATACACTACCTGTTTTAGTGTTTCTGAAATTAAAGGAGAAAACAAATCAACAATTGGAGATTTTGGAAACAAAGACTTACGGAATCTTCTGGTTGAAATGAATTTAATCTACATTTTTTTTTATCCAACAGCTGAACACAATTGTGCTGTTTTCTACAAAGCAAACAAAGCATTATTTGGCAATGCAACACTTGCTGAAGTTCCCATGAATGTGTGGCACTTGTACTTTGCATCGCTTTCACTTTCTATCTTGGTCCTCTTAAACTACTACAGTGTGGTTTAAGTTTGGAAACTGTGCTGGTCTTCAATCATGTGAAGACAGGGTTTAGTTGTATTCTTCGAATATTTTTATATCATTGTCTTGCTATAAATGAGGAATAAAAACATCATAAAAGTCATTGTATATTAACTGAAAAACGTCATAGTATAATGAGTCATAAAAAGTCATAAAAACGACATAGTATTGGATGGCATAAAAGGCATAAAAACTTATAAAAATGACATATTACACTAAGGTTTAAAAACGAAATAGTAAAGTAAGGCAAAAAAAGGCAAGAAATGGCATAGTATAGTAAGGCATAAAAAGTCATAAAAACGTCATAGTATGGTAAGACATTAAACGTCATAGTATATTAAGTCATAAAAATGACAAAAAACGTAATAGTATAGTATGGCATAAAAATGACAAAAAACATCATTGTATATAAAGGCACAAAATGTCATAAAAATATCATAATATGGTAAGGCATTAAACGTCATAGTATATTAAGGCATAAAAATGACAAAAAACGTCATAGTATAGTATGGCATAAAATGTCAAAAAACGTCATAGCATAAAATGTCATAAAAACATCATAGTGTATTAAGGCACAAAAAATCACAGAAACATCATAGTATGGTAAGGCATTATACGTCATAGTATATTAAGGCATAAAAATGACAAAAAACGTCATAGTATAGTATGGCATAAAATGTGAAAAAACGTCATAGTATAGTCTGGCATAAAATGTCAAAAAAAGATGATAGTGTATTAAGGCACAAAATGTCATAAAAACATCATAGTATGGTAAGGCATTAAACGTCATAGTTTATTAAGGCATAAAAATGACAAAACACGTCATAGTATAGTATGGCATAAAATGTCAAAAAAACATCATTGTATATTAAGGCACAAAATTTCATAAAAACATCATAGTATGGTAAGGCATTAAACGGCATAGCATATTAAGGCATAAAAATGACAAAAATGTCAAAGTATAGTATGGCATAAAATGTCAAAAAACGTCATAGTATAGTATGGCATAAAATGTCAAAAAAACACGATAGTGTATTAAGGCACAATATGTAATAAAAACATCATAGTATGGTAAGGCATTAAACGGCATAGCATATTCAGGCATAAAAATGACAAAAAACGTCAAAGTATAGAAAAATTTCCACAGATTTGCCTCCAGAAACTGTTAAATAAAACAGTTGCAAATTGTATCAGGGGGGCACGTTGAGACCCCTATTTGCGCTTTTTCTACATTTGAACTGAATCTTGAGGTATTTCACTAATACACTACCTGTTTTAGTGTTTCTGAAATTAAAGGAAAAAACAATCAACAATTGGAGATTTTGGAAAGAAGACTTACGGAATCTTCTGGTTTGAAATGAATTTAATCTACATTTTTTTTAATCCAACAGCTGAACACAATTGTGCTGTTTTCTACAAAGCAAAACAAAGCAATTATTTGGCAATGCAACACTTGCTGAAGTTCCCATGAAGTGTGGCACTTGTACTTTGCACGCCTTTCACTTTCTAATCTAGGTCCTCTTAAACTACTACAGTGTGGTTTAAGTTTGGAAAACTGTGCTGGTCTTCAATCATGTGAAGCACAGGGTTTAGTTGTATTCTTCGAAATTTTATATTCATTGTCTTGCTATAAATGAGGAATAAAAACATCATAAAAAAGTCATTGTATATTAACTGAAAAAACGTCATAGTATACATGAGTCCATAAAAAGTCATAAAAAACGACATAGTATTGGATGGCATAAAAAGGCATAAAAACTTATAAAAATGACATATATTACACTAAGGTTTAAAAACGAAATAGTAAAGTAAGGCAAAAAAGGCAAGAAATGGCATAGTATAGTAAGGCATAAAAAGTCATAAAACGTCATAGTATGGTAAGACATTTAACGTCATAGTATATTAAGTCATAAAAAATGACAAAAACGTAATAGTATAGTATGCATAAAAATGACACAAAAAACATCATTGTATATAAAGGCACAAAATGTCATAAAAATATCATATATGGTAAGGCATTAAACGTCATGTATATTAAGGCATAAAAATGACAAAAACGTCATAGTATAGTATGGCATAAAATGTCAAAAAACGTCCAATAGCATAAAATTCATAAAACATCAATAGTGTATTAAGGCACAAAAAATCACAGAAACATCATAGTATGGTAAGGCATTATACGTCATAGTATAGTTAAGGCTAAAATTGACAAAAAACGTCATAGTAATAGTATGGCATAAAAAGTGAAAAAACGTCATAGTATATGTCTGGCATAAAATGTCAAAAAAAGATGATAGTGTATTAAGGCACAAAATGTCATAAAAACATCATAGTATGGTAAGGCATTAAACGTCATAGTTTTATTAAGGCATAAAAATGAACAAAAAACGTCATAGTATAGTATGGCATAAAATGTCAAAACAAAATCATTGTATATTAAGGCACAATATGTCATAAAAACATCATAGTATGGTAAGGGCATTAAACGGCATAGCAATTAAGGCATAAAAATAAAAAAAAAAGTCATAGTATAGTATGGCATAAAATGTCAAAAATACAATGTATGTAGTATTAAGGCAGAAAAATGTCATAAAACAATCATAGTATGGTAAGGCATTAAACGGTCATAGTTTTATTAAGGCATAAAAATGACAAAACACGTCATAGTATAGTATGGCCATAAAATGTTCAAAAAAACATCATTGTATATTAAGGCACAAAAATTCATAAAAACATCATAGTATGGTAAGGCATTAAACGGCATAGCATATTAAGGCATAAAAATGACAAAAAGTCAAAGTATAGTATAGGCATAAAATGTCAAAAAACGTCAATAGTATAGTATGGCCATAAAATGTCAAAAAAACACGATAGTGTATTAAGGCACAATTATGTAATAAAACATCATAGTAGGTAAGGCATTAAACGGCATAGCATATTCAGGCATAAAAAATGAACAAAAAACGTCAATATAATGTCATAGGCAAATGCAAATCAAGTATGTTGCATAAAATGTCAAAAAAACACGATAGTGTATTAAGGCACAAAATGTCATAAAAACATCAATAATATGGTAAGGCATTAAACGTCATAGTTTATTAAGGCATAAAAATGACAAAAAATGTCATAGTATAGTATGGCATAAAATGTAAAAAAAGTCATAGTATAGTATGGCATAAAAATGTCAAAAAAACATCATTGGTAATATTAAGGCACAAATTTCATAAAAACATCATAGTATGGTAAGGCATTAACGGCATAGCATATTCAGGCATAAAAATGACTAAAAACGTCAAAGTATAGTATGGCATAAAATGTCAAAACAATCGTCATAGTATAGTATGGCATAAAATGTCAAAAAAACACGATAGTGTATTAAGGCACAAAATGTCATAAACAATCATCATAATATGGTAAGGCATGAACGTCATAGTTTATTAAGGCATAAAAATGACAAAAAATCGTCCATAGTAATATACATGTGGCATAAAATGTCAAAAAAACATCATTGTATATTAAGGCAACAAAATTTATAAAAACACTCAAGTATGGTAAGGCATTAAACGGCATAGCATATTAAGGCATAAAAATGACAAAAACGTCAAAGTATAGTATGGCATAAAAATGTCAAAAAACGTCATAGATAGTATGTAAAGCAAAAAATATGGTACAGAAACATCATAGTATGTAAGGCATTAAAACGGCATAGCATATTAAGGCATAAAAATGACAAAAAACGTCAAAGTATAGTATGGCATAAAATGACAAAAAAAGTCATATAGTATAGTATGGCCATAAAATGTCAAAAAAACAGCATTGTATATTAAGGCACAAATGTCATAAAAACATCATAGATATGGGTAAGGCATTTAACGGCATAGTTTTATTAAGGCTAAAAATGACAAAAAAAGGCGTTCAAAGTATAGTATGGCATAAAATGTCAAAAAACCATCCATTGTATA